AAAAAAAAAAAAAAAAAAAAAAAAAGAAAGAAAGAAGAAAAGAGTGTGACCCAAGGACTCAACTCACCGCTCTCCTTTTGAGAGCCTAATGGTGAATTTTAGCAATGACCTAAAGCATTGAGGCCTATTAGATTTACTTAGATGGGAGGTGTTTGTTCTTATCAGCCTTGGCTTCTCTCTTCTCCTAACTGTGTTGCTGTTTGTAAAGGAAAAGGAAGCTAATTTCATTTTTAGTTTATAATTTGATAAAACATCTTATGAGCCCTTTAATTCAACAAACATTTAATAAGTACCTGGCACTATGTTAGGTACTAAAAAAAAAAAAAAAAAATCAACCGTGAGAGAAACTTTAACCACCACAAGGATCCTTACGGAGTCTGTCGTCTGGTAAGATGTTTATGTTCTCCTACATATACACATATTATTTGGTTTATGAAGAACATGAGTATCAAAAATTGACATGAATTTTAGCTCCAATTTTGACAAAAATCTGTGAAACCAGAGATGATATTAAAAATATTTAACAACCAATATGGCCATGGCACCATGTAATCAGAGGAGACACCAGTCAGTTTGTGTGCTAGGCAGCTTCTCAACTGGCCCCAATGATCCCCACCTCTTGGTATCCATATCATGTATAATCCTCTCCCCGCTTGACTGCGGTCTGGACCTAGTGACTTGCTTCTAACCAAGAGAATGTGATTAGGTTCCAAAGTCACTTCTGAGACTGGGTTATAAAAGACTGTGATGCCTACTTTGTTTCCTTGTGTTCTCACTCTCTCTGGCTCTTCTTGCTTTGCTCACTGTGATGAATCAGCTACTATTTTGTGAGCTCCCTTATAAAAAGGTCCACGTGGCAAGGAACTGAGGGCGGTTTCTGGACAACAGCCAATGAGTAACCGAGACCCTCAGGTCAACAGCCCGCAAGGATCTGAATCCTGCCAACAAGCACATGAATGAGCCTGGAAGTGAACCTTTCCCCAGTCACGTCCTGGTATGACTGCAGCCTTAAAGAGTCCCTAAAGACAAAAGACATAACTAAGCTGTGCTCAGATTTCTGAACCACAGAAACTGTGAGACAATAAACACTGCTTTAATCTACTATGTTTTGGAGTCATCCGTTTTGCAGCAAGAGATAACTAATGTGATATGCCATTCCCTTTAATACTGCAGAATATGGGTTACTATCAAGAGACTTCAGTTTAGTCATTTTTAAAGCTTTCAAGTTCTGTTTCCTCTATTCTACAAAGCTTCATCTGTAACCTCAGAGACATATACCGGCATCAAGCACCCAATAAAAGAGAATCCCATTCCTGGTCAAGGCCCAGATCCTGAAGATATAGAACTTTACGACATAGTCCTGTATCTTACCCAGCTCCAGAGCCTCTTTTTGGACCAGCAGATGCCCCTGGATCTGATTTCACAGTGTTTTTCTAGCTTTGACCTGAGGTTCCCTATTCCATTGAGGTTTTTTGACCTTTTCCTCAAATAAATATACTTCCAGTTATTTGAAAATAGCTACCCATCTCCAAGAACTGGCTTTGGTCTTGAAGTTCCTGATCCCCCCCAGAACTTACCAGAGGAAAGAGAAGCTATAAATGGAAGTCATTCAAGTCAGTGCTTCTCGACCATTTTTTCTGCCCTCGTGGCCATTTATTTGCACAGCTCTCTTCCGTCAGGAACATCTCTCACCCAAAGAACTCTTAGGGGCTTCCCTGGTGGCACAGTGGTTGGCAGTCCGCCTGTCGATGCAGGGGACGCGGGCTCGTGCCCCAGTCCGGGAGGATCCCACATGCCGCGGAGCGGCTGGGCCCGTGAGCCATGGCCGCTGAGCCTGCGCGTCCGGAGCCTGCGCTCCGCAGCGGGAGAGGCCACAACAGTGAGAGGCCCGCGTA